GCTCTCCAGCTAGCCAGCTAGCTAGCTAGCTAGCCAGCTAGCTAACAAACTAGCTAGCTAGCCATCTAGATGGCTAGCTAGCTATCCACCTGGCTAGCCATTTAGCTAGCTAGCTGTTTAGTGAACTAGCTAGCTAGCTAGCCATTTAGCTAGCCAGCTAGGCATTTAGCTACCTAGCTAGCCATTTCTCCAGCTAGCTAGCTAGCCATCTAGCTAGCTAGCTAGCTAGCCATCTAGCCAGCTAGCTAGCTAGCTAGCTAGCCATCTAGCTAGCTAGCTAGCTAGCCATCTAGCCAGCTAGCTAGCTAGCTAGCTAGCTAGCTAGCTAGCTAGCGGGTGCTGCTGTTGCTTTCGTTTTCTCAAGGCCCTTTCAGTGCAGCAGCAAAACTTGAATGAAGAAGTAGCAGCAGCAGAAGCACCAAGGAAGACACAGGAAGAGCAGCACCAGCTGACGGAACATTTGCTGCTGCTGCTGCAGCAGCAAGCTGAACGCACGGCGCAGCAGCAGCAAGAGCAGCAGCAGCAGCTCGAGAAACTAGAAGCGCAAACACAAGTAACAACCCGTGCCCAAAACCCAAAACCCAAAACCCTAAACCCTAAACCCTAAACCCTTAATCGTAGACCATAATCAAGAGTGCCTCTGCCAGGAGCTGCAAAAAAAGAAGTTAATTTTCTAGGACTGCTGATGTACTTGCTGCTGCTGCTGCTGCTTCTTTCTGTTTCGCTGCTGCTGCTGCTTCTGCTGCTCTTGGTGCCGCTGCTGCTGCTGCAGTCTCTGCAGCAGCAGCTGCAGCAGCAGCAGCAAAAGCTGCAGCAGCAACGCAGAGTGTCTGAAGAGCTTTTGCCGCAGCAGCGCGATGTTCGCAACAGACTCGACTTGGCGCAGGCAAACCCTAAACCCTAAACCCTAAACCCTAAACCCTAAGTCCTCAGTTTGTTTTGATCTGGATTAATCTATTAATGGTTTGTTTGTTTTACTTATCTGCAAGGTTTGTTACTTATGTTATTTATCATCTATTTATTTACTTATTTATTATTATTAATTAATTTATTTATTATTAATTAATTAATTAATTTATTTATTTATTTATTTATTCATCGCTTTTCCAACTTGAGCCTTTTACCTCCTCGCCACTTCAACAAATAAACAAGCAAACAAAGAAACAAATAAATAAATAAACAAACAAACAAACAAACAAATAAATAAATAAATAATAAATAATAAATAATGAATAATAAATAAATAAAAAACGTCGAAAGAAAACCCCTCGGTAGGGTTGTTGCGGGGGTTTGGGGTGTACGTACACCTCAGTTGGACTTCGCGAACAGCAGCGAACAGTTAAATGAAACTCAAAAAGAAATAAAAGAAGCAGCAGCAATGCAAAAGGAAACAAAAGAAGCTTTGTTGCAGTGGAAAGCAGCTTTGGAAAGAGCCAAGTTGTGCGCCCCGAGGGTTTAGGGTTTAGGGTTTAGGGTTTCGGCCTTCGAGCCACGCCGCTGCGCAGCAGGGCGCAGGAGCTACAGTCTAGGGTCTAGGGTTTAGGGCTTAGGGTTTAGGGTTTAGGGTTTACGGATAATTATACCCCACGCTGCGAGTCCAGACTGTGGCGTTTAGCCTCAAATTGCCGATGAACTGGGGTCTGGGCTACAGGGTTTAGGGTTTAGGGTTTAGGGTTTAGGGTTTATGGTTTAGGGTTTAGGGTTTAGGGTTTAGGGGGTGGTTGCAGGGACTACAAGAGAGGGACTGTTCAACGAGACATCACAGCAGCGCTGTTGCCTCCCTTCGTGGCTCGCAAGGTGAAGTTTATATACCCCTCAAACCCTAAACCCTAAACCCTAAACCCTAAACCCTAAACCCTAGAAAAGTAGGCGAAATGAGAAGCAGGAACTTTTGATGAGTTGGCGGCTGCGACTGTCATGTCAAAACAGCCCTTTGCTGCTCACTAGGGTCTAGCCTTAAGGGTTTAGGGTTTAGGGTTTAGGGTTTAGGGTTTAGGGTTTAGCGTTTGTGGTTTCAGGCGGAGCTCGCGCTGCAGCGAAAAGCGCTGCTGGAGGAAAGCGCCAAGAGAGCGAAAGAGGTCAGAAGACTTCAAACGAATATTTTATTTATTTATTTAATTTATTTGTTCAATTTATTTAACTTATTTACTTTAATTTAATTTATTTAATTTAATTTAATTGATTTGATTTCATTAATTTGATTAATTAAATTAATTCCATTTATTGAATTTCTTTTCTTTTCATTTATTTCTTTTTTTGACTGCCGCCTTTTTCCTTTATAGCCCCCAAAATTCTTCTTTTATTTTATTTTCTTTTCTTTTATCTGATTTAATTTGATTTGATTTTATTTTATTTCTTGTATTCTATTTAAATTTGCCTTTTATTTTCCGTTTCTTATCATATCTTTTAACTTGTTTTTATTTCTTTTTCGTTTTTATTTCTTCTTTTTTCCTCTTCCAGTTCTCTTTATTTCTTTTTATTTCTTTTATTTTATTTCATTTTATTTTTAAATGTAATTCTTTTTTGTTCTAATTTTTGCCAATTTCTTTTTTGATTATATTTTTAGGGTTTGCGTCTAGGCGTTCCTCCATGACTGCGTCTCTCAATTGCTCCTTAAGCTTTTGGGTTTAGGGTTTAGGGTTTAGGGTTTAGGGTTTAGGGTTTAGGGTTTAGGGTCTAGGGTTTAGAGCTGTGCTTCAGGCGGGAAGGCTAAAA